CCAAGAGCAGGAGCTCTCAAATGTGCCTGCAGGTGAGATCCTCCTGGGAGCTGTTATCATATACCGTGTATGGACCCATTCCAGTGCTCTATGGTTGGGATTGATCTAAAGCTCCCCTACTGATGTGTATGTGACCATGGTTGAGAATCACAGCCCTCTAAATCCCAGATGGAACTTAATCCAAGTGACAGCACTACCTGATGGAAAGGACTAGGCCACGCCTCCCTGAGCTTACCTCTGTTACCAGCCAAACACCATCCGTTCTACCACTGGGGCAGAGCTAGATGAGCACTCTTTACCTCCTCCTAAGTCTGCTTTCATCATCCTCCTGAAACATCGTTCCATTCCCCTCCCACGTCTCCTGGCTGTAGGGCTGTGTCCCTCCCTGCCCTGTGTGTGTGGGCCTTGAGGCAGAAGTGCAGGTGGCAGAAGTGAGCCCTTCCTAATGGGCTTGGCTTGCAAAGGAGATGACAGGCAGTGGAGCAAAAGCAGGGTTTGTTTTCAGCTGAAACCACCCCGCAAAAAACTGTGTTTGGCAAACTAGAAGCTTCCTCTGGCTGTGGATCTGAGAGCCAGGCTCTCACACAGATTGTTTTCCCATCCAAAGATAGTGTGATAGGGTCACTACTGCCTGAAATGAGTTTTTGATTTTCAGCAACAATCTAATTAGCCTTGACTAGGGCCTGTCCTTTTGTCTGCCTCCTTGCGTTTGCCTTTGAGGTCAGTAGCTGGTAACTAATACCCACTAGTACTGAAGCACCCAGGTGACTATAGGACTGAGTAATGTCCTCTCATGGCTATCTCACGGTTAGAAAGAAGATGGAAAGGGATGTGCTGCTGTGGCCAGGCAGAGAGCAGCTAGCAGAAGGTCTAACCTCTGTGTTTCAGTTGGCCTCAAACATCCCCAAAGGGTGCTAACATGTAGCTCTGTGGTGGAGCATGCTCTTAGTGTTCACCCTTGAACCCTTGGTTCAGTCTTAGCAAGCATGGGAAATTTTGACTTGGGGTTAAATAGAGACCCCCAAAGATGTCCCAGTTATTTTTGCAAGACAGTGTAGCACATGCGGCACAATTCAGTGTCCTCCTGGCACTTATTGAAGCATAGGCTGTTGCATTGCACCAGCGCATGTATTTAATTCATGGGTTACAGAGTCAGAACCAAGCCCAAGATCCCTTGGAGAGTAACGGGTTGAAGAAAAGTTCAAACACTGTTAGGTTCCAGAGTCTGCACTCTGCACCATGAGATAAGCCATCTGCATGTTTAGCACAGCCTGAACCATTTGGTAAGCATATAGCCTAAACAACGCAGGAACAGTCTGTCAAGAAACTACAGCATAGGACAGCACTGCAGCATAGGAGTCACAGACAGAGTGTACTTTTTCACTACCCTGACTGGATAGGCCAGTTTCAGCCAGGCGTGGTGGCACATGCCTTTACTCCCAGCACTTGGGAGGGCAGGCAGATCTCTGTGAGCCAGCATGGTGTACAAAGACTCAGTTTCCAAAAAAACATTTACCTACCAAAAAATTGTGTCACTACAATGTCATTGCCTGGTATATGACCTGTGATAAGGGAAAGCAAACAATGGCCCATGAGCCATGCCAGTAATTTAAAAGCAGAAATCAAAAGAATTGTAGTTGACAAATAAAATTCCTATGGAATTCAGATTTCAATGTCCAGAAATTAAGATTTATTGGAAGCAAATCAAAACTTGAGTGCCTGTCTTATCACTGTGTGTTAACTGCGAGGCCACACATAGACAATGAAGTAGTCACAGCAAGACTGTGTGGCCTGTGCTCTAGTCTAAGGTACTTTCTATTCAGACCTTGACATAAGAAGCCTGCCAGCTGACTACTATCAGGAGGAAAGAAACTGGCAGTGTGGTCAAGAGTTTAACACTGTCACCCCTTTGGAATTGTCCCCTGCAAGTCTTACCCCAGCACTGAGTGCAAGCAGCTCTACCACTCAAGCAAGGCCACTCAGGTAAGGCTTACTGTGAGACCCTCCTACCCACAGCTTGCCTTGCCCTGGCACATCCTAAAGCTTTAGGAGCCCCGTCCCTTGCTTTAACATAGTCTTCCTCATGGACTGTAAGAAGTAGTATTTAATAAAACATGTACTTGACTCTGTTTGTCTGAAGTATCTGAACATCAAACTGGCTAGACATGGAGAAGCTGAAGTCTAGAGAGTTAAGATGCACTCTGTAAAACCTCATGCTTGCAGAGTTCTTCACACACGTTCTTACTTAACCCTTGACTTCAGCTTAATGTCAGGCAGCACTGCCCCCTCCCCCTCTCTTTGAGCATGGAGTCTATGTGCCCCTTCCTTGGTCTCTGCATGCCACGGGTACTTTTTTACATTTTCTTTTCTTTTTCTTTCTTTTTTTTTTTTTCAAGACAGGGTTTCTCTGTGTAGCCCTGGCTGTCCTGGAACTCACTCTGTAGACCAGGCTAGCCTCGAACTCAGAAATCCACCTGCTTCTGCCTCCCAAGTGCTGAGATTAAAGGCGTGTGCCACCACTGCCTGGCCTACATTTCCTTATGATGTTAGGTGTTGCAGCTATGAAATTGTCTTATCCTCTTCCATGGCCTCCAAAGAGTTGAGTTCTTAATGAGGAAAAGAAAATCACCAATACTGAACAACTTGTACCTCCTTTTTAAAGCAGCTCAATTCTGATGAATAGAGAACACAACCCACAGCTTCTTCTTCATACCTGTGCGGTCCTACTAGGAAATAGGGTTTTCAGGGCCTGGAGGGGTGGCTCGTGGTTAAGAGAACTGGCTGTTCTTCAGAGCATCCTAGTCTGATTCCCAGCATACACGTGGTCTCCCAGCTAACCATGTAACTCCTGTTCTGGAGAACCTAATGCCCTCTTCTGGCCTTCACAGGCACCAGTCACAGACACACGTGCAGACAAAACAACCACAAGTCCCACCCAGGCAAGCAAGCCCCAGACACGGAGCATTAGAGCAGAGATGAAAGATGGCCTGGGCAGAGCTCGCTGACTGAGTTTCTGAGCATCCCATTCCGATAGGCATGAAAGAGGCTACCAGAGCTCCTGAGCCACGGAGGATAGGCTCAAAGATAAGCTCTTCATTGTAGTCTTTAGATTGCAGTCTTACTGCTGAAGTGTGGAGAGGACTTGCCTGCTCTCCCAGATTCACAGGGAAACTAAGTGGTAGCAGAGGTCTCCAGTATTGCAAGTCCCCTCACAGATGCTAGTGCTTCCATGCCTGTTTCTTCTGTCAGCCTCTTCCAGGCCCATCGGAGGGAGCAGAGCACTTACTATTCCTTTATAGCTACAGACATACAGAGAAGTGGTTTGTCTGAAGTAACAATTCTCAACCTTTCTAATGCTGTGACCCTTTAATACCCTCATGTTATGGTGACCCCCAACCATAAAATGTTCATTGCTACTTTATAACTATAATTTTATACTGTTATGAATAATAATATAAATATCTGTGTTTTCCTATGGTATTAGGTGATCCCTATGAGAGGGTTGTTCAACTCCCAAATGGGTCTCAACCCATAGGCTAGACCCGCTGGGCTAAAGCATGGTGGATCACTGATGGTGACCACTCCTGAATTTGTTTCTGAGCTACAGGTGCCTTGGTGTTTTTTATTTCAATCTATAATGAAGAAATGGTCTTTGGACTTAGGCACATGTGGGTATACTTTCATCACTGGTGCATAACCTCATAACTAGCTAACTGCTGTAGACGAGAGATGGACATCTGTTTCCTCATTTACAGGAACTGGTTCCTGAGGAGCCAGTAAGACTCTCAAACACCTCACTTGTAGATGTTGTTTTTTCTTTGTTCCCTGACATGGGGTGTGGAGATGTACACACTCACACTTGCACATCCACATATGATCGTATGATGTAACCTGTATTGTCTTTGTGAGGTTGGGGAAACAAAGATTATATTCCTTCAGGCACATTTAGATTCTCTACTTTAATAGCAGTGCCAGGGTCTAGAACTACGTGGGCCTTGTGACTCCTGGGCCCAGGCTACCCTTTTCTGGAGGCCTTGCTTAACTGTGGGTCCTGAAAGTTGGAATAACTAATCAGTGAAAGGAGGGGTGTCTGCATAACAGGGAGGACACAGATCTCTGGAGCCTTTGTTGTGAAAATGTACTTACCTTCTAATCCCAGTCTGCTACTGGAAGGCCCACACATGAACTGTAGTTCATTAAGATTTTTCAGATGTACAAAATATCTGTCAAAGTGCCTGATCATGTCATAAAGACTTGGGTGTTCAAGCTGGAACTCAATTTTCCTGTGTTCTTTGAGTTGAGCAACAATGTGTGTCGTGTTCTGAGATGGAAGAACTGACCGATGGAATCTCTACTCCATCCCTCTTCCAGAAGCCTCTGCTTGCCAGAATTTTAACACCATCCACTGAAGTGCTGGTGAAGGCCCCTGGGCCCTGGGCATAGCTGTAAACTTTCTGGGTGTTAATGTTGAGAACAGGTGTGTATAGTATGACCAGTGAGAATCTGGATGGATTCTAGTTACCAAAGTCAGCAGGATGACCTTGGTCATCTTGACCCTTGGCAGAAAAGCCAAGTTCTATTTCTCGGCTTGCATGTTGTTCTTGGGTGGGAAGCTGTGCCATTTAACTCTTAAGGTCACTGTCTCTCTGACTCCTTGCTGAAGTCCTTCCCTGTGTACTCAGCAGCTGCTCTGGCAGTCTACCTAGATTCTGTAGGCTATAGGTGAGTTCAAGGGCAGAAACAGTTGCAAAGAGCTACTGGCTCTACCTTATTTCTACAGAACTGTAGGCTATGTGTAATGTGAAGCTGGCTCAAAAGATGAGCAGCTGTGTTTTCCCTAAATATTTACATTTCTGACCCAGTAAATAGGAAGATTTGAGGGGTTTTATCCCTGAGCAGAAGGGTAGTGACAACTTATCACATAGTGGTCAGGAGGCCCTGGCAAGGTAAAGGCAGCCGTTGTGCTGGGCTCTGACACACCTTTCCCTCTGTCTCCACAGGTGTTAACAGAACTGAAATCTGACAATCAGAGGCTGAAGGATGAAAATGGTGCCCTCATCAGAGTCATCAGCAAACTGTCCAAATAGAGGAGGTCAGGTCTGGGAAGAGGGACAGCATTTGCTGCCCACTCTTCGCTTCCAGCTATAGCCTTCTGGCCAAAAGACGTGAATGTTCCTGAAGGAGGGCACCTCCCTGTGGCCTCGTCAGTCACCTCTGCACTGTACATTGTCTCTGCACTCTCCATGCCCATTCCCCCACACCTCTGTCCTAAGTTTTACGACAGTTTTAACTGAAGCATGATTGTGACCATTTGAAACAATCTGGAGAAAGCTTTGTGGGGTACACCAAGCTTAGCTGTGACCCCAACTTTCTGCTGCTTTGTCCACATTGGTTTTGGTCCAGATATGTAAGGCTTTGACCCATAGCCTTTACACTGACCCACTGTTCTTTATATAGGTGAGTCTTGTGGTGGCCACTCTGGGGTCCTATCTGGGGTGCAAGAGAAAGGGCAGAATGTGGAGCTTTCTCTGGTGGGCCTCTGGAGCTGTTGGCTTGTAGTCCACAGTGACCCTGTGCTGAGGCTGCTATTCACCACTCAGGAACTGACTTGTTTCTACTTTCCTACCAGTAACCTAGGAACATCGCTGACTAGTCTTAACCTGATTTCTCCTCTCCGCAAGGCCCAGACAGCCTTGGACTCTCTTGTTCCTTTTCTTGCTGTCCTTTGGTGATTTCTCCTCCCACCCTGATGGCATAAAAGCTGAAACCGAGCTCCTGACCTCAGCTGTTTGGAAACTCCTCACTCTGCTGTCTTGGTGCCATGACCCTGCCCTGCGAAGTTAGAGGACGGCTTAAGGTTTCAGCCTGTTGTTCATATCTCCCACTTGTCTGCTTACAAAATCTTTTCTGAACTCTTCAAGTTGTACAAGTAGTATATATCTCTAATCCCAGCACTCGGGAAGCTGAGGGAGAAGGACCAGGAGTTTGAGGCCAGCTACACAGCAAGACCCTCTCTCCAGACAGAGCAAGCCTGGGTGTTGAGTGCTCCAGTTTGCCTTGCTTCCTTTGGCTTTGTTCCCTTTTCACTCAGACCCTGCTCCTAATGAGAAGTCATTGCAAGGAGGTCTTGGGGACAGCAGGGGCGGAAGCTAGACTAGAGGGTGGAAGCAGGCCAGAGAGACGTGGAAAGATCTGAGAACACTTGGAACACTGCGGAGATGGTGGTAACTTGCTTTCTGGTGGTCATATTCAGGGAAGAGATCCCTTCTTAGAAGCCAACAGGAGAGGTGACTGCTGGGTAGAGACTGAAGATGAAGAAGAGTACTCATGGACTCTTAAGAGCGGCAAGCCCCAAAGATCATCTGGCCCAGCGTTCTTGTGACTTCCTGCTGCCATAACTCTGACCTGTAGTCAGCCTCTGGGAGCTATGCATGTCTAACTTGAAGTTTGGGCACCTCTACTAATTTTTTAACTAATAGAAGGTGAGGTCTGCTGCTTTCTGCCAGGATAGCACATTAGGTGTGGGTGGGTAGTGGTCTCTACTTACCTAGTCCCTTGAGTCCCTCTTCAGATGCCATGATTTTGATACCTGTCACATCTTGACTACCATCCTCTAGAGTCTAGACAAAGCAGCCGTTTAGCTTATGCCTCAGCCTATGTAGAGTACTCTGTAACTCCAGCACACAGTTAAACTGCTAGCTCTTGTTGATGATCCAGTGCAGATGGGTACAATGTGGATTTTGTAGGCATTTTGTCCTATGGTTCACATTAAAGGACACGTCCTTTAACGCCTCATTGTTTGAGGGTTGCTAGTGAAGTGGACCATTCTAACACTACCTCTGTTAGTTTCTTTCATGAGGACGCCACTGTCCTTTTTGGTGGCTCTTGCAGACGTCGTGTGCTCTTAAACAGATGTTGTAATTCAGGTCCCTGGTACAGAATGGGAGCTCTGTCTCCTCTGACACACTGACTCAGCACATGTAAGATCCTCTTTCCACTTCAGCCTGTTGTGTGAAGACTCGCATGTTGGTCTGTTCTCTTGTGAAGCACTGAGCCACAGTGCTCAGCCCCTGTCTTCTGCTCTAGGAAGCATTCTCTTCTTCCTGGGAGATGTCACCAGGATGCCAGCCACTGACTCTCCTAGCATGGGTTCTGGATTGGGAAAGAGGGAACTGTTGTCTCATTCTTAGGAAAAGAAGATGGGACTGTAGGAAAGCAGTCCGCACCTCCTCCATGCATAGGCCAGGTGAGGGTGTTCAGAGCTATGCCTTTCGGTCTTTTGAAGCATAGGGAAAGTGCTCGAAAACTCACACACTGGCATTATACCTGCTGCTGTACATGGCCTTCGTGTTAAGATGCCACCTCTTACCAGGAAGGTTTCCTTGTGACAAGCTTTTCAGTCTCGGTAGTACTAGCCTCTGTGGCCAAGAACCCTTCAGAGCACACATGGTCCCAGGCCATTCCTGGCAACTCCTTTCAGGCCACTAATTTTATTAGAAGCATTGTGAATTTAGTCTCTTCCAGAGAAGAAAACTCCATTTCTTCAAAATCATACTGACTGAAAGACCCATGAAAGACATGGCCTCCTGAGGCTAGCTCTTCTGTGTGTGCAGTCTCCTTTTCCTGTGTAACTCGGCCAGTTACACACCGTGGGTCTCCCCAGTGGCCACCAGCCTCACCTGCTGGCTTCTCGTGAGTAATCCCATGACCAGAGCTTACTGTTCCACTGCAAGCAAGCAAGCATGCAGGAAGGACTCAGCCTTGTCACACCAGTCTTCGTGGGAAATTAAGATAGGGACAAGAGCGTTCTCATTCATTTGACACCTTTCAATACCCAAGCCACCTCTGAGGGTAATGACTGGTCAGTCCAGAGAATCTCTGGCTGGAGTTTGCCTGCTTGACTTTCAAGGGGTTCCAAGCCTTTCCAGACAGTTCCTGAAAGTGCTGACCCCAGCTCCATCCCAGTCTCTAGGGGAAGAGCTATGCACATTCAAGGGTGTTGCCTCTAAAGAATCTGAAGAACAGCCCTATCTTGGAGCCGTGCCTCCTTGTGAGTGTCCAGCACTGGGACATGTTCTCACTCTGCTTTCTCTGCCTCAGCCCCTGAGGTGCAAGGATTGTTCAGTGGGGTTGCTGGCAGCTTCCACTCAGGAAGTACAGGAGCAGTCTGCAGGCCTCAGAAGAGTATAGGAACCAGAGTGAAGGGCCTCTCCAAGCCATGTCCCTGGGGGCTCTGCTCTCTGGTCCTTTTGCAGCAGAGGGACAGCTCCAACCATTGCTTACATGCCTTTTCAGTGGTGGGCCCTGTCCAGATCCATGCCCAAGTCTAGCTGCCGCTCAGCTGCCACTCTATTCTGAAGATAGGTGCAAACCCTCCAACAGTCCAGGTCCCCATGACTCAGGAGTGAGGCAGCTTTGCGGGCAGGGTACTTTCAAGTCCTCTTGGCTTAAAATTCTGTCATGTATTCAAAGATGAGGACTTTTTTTACACTTAGATTTCTGCTTCAAAAATGGCTTAACTTTGAATTTTCAAGATCAGTCTTGCTTTCTTCCCAAATTCAAGCTGTTTAAGATTGGCCTGTCAAGGTCGACCTCCCCTCTGTGCTGGAAAGTGAATTTAACATTGAAAGCAATTGAACAGTGTGCTGTGATTGCCTTCCTTCCTGGTGGTTAGGTAAAAATATTGCCAACCTGCAGAGGTGGAGATTGGAGCTCCTGGAACGGACAGAGCAGTGTTTCAGGCCTCCGAGGACGCGATGTACATCATAGCAAACCAGCTGCTGCTGGTAGGTTTGCTCAGCCACCTCTCCCAGATGTGACCAGCGCTGCTTCCCAGTACCCAAGCAGCAGACTTTATGCTTGGCACCAACTAGTTTCTAGTCTTGAGCTCTACCTTGAGCAGCAGGAGAGCGTTCCTCCGGCTGCTGTTCAGGCTCTTTCACAGGAGACACCAGGGCCACATAGCACAGAATGGTGCCCAGCTCTAGCCAGACACCTATGCTTGGGGCTTGGATGTGAGGAAAGGGGCAGACCCTGAAACTGGGTGCCTGCTATAGTGGGCAAAAGGCAGGAGAAGGTCTGAATGTGGAATGGGGAGAGGTCGGAGCCTGCGAGAAAGGGAGCCAGGCTTTTGCACCTGGAAGTGTGTTCTGTCTCATTGAGTTCGTCCCTCAGCTCCAGCTGAGCGAGATTTTAATCAGCTCCTCTAATGGGTATTGACACTGCTCGGAGCAGTCGACTCTGTTAGGGACAACTATTGATTGCTTGTGTTCTGATTAGATTGGAAAAATAGATCAACTTCATTATAGCCCAGAAGCTGTCATTGTCACAGCTACAAAGAAATGAAGTGGTCTCTGAGGGCTGAGGAAAGTCAGTTGGACTCCTGACAAGCCAGAGAGTAGCTGAAAATTGCATCCATGTCTCCTTGAGAACTGTGGTTAAGGGTCACAAATCTCCTGGGGTGCCTGGACACCCACTATGGCTATATGGGAGAGGAGGGAATACCTAAGCCATGGCACTGAAGCACATCCTGGCCTTACCTCAGCAGACTTGACAATGTGAGGGTCTCTTCAAGCCTGGGAGTACACCACAGCCCACACCCCCACACACACCCTCACACACCAGGCTGAAGCTTTCAAAGAGGTCTGGCATTTCTTGATGAGAATGGGAACAGATAGTTTACCCAGTGCGCTCTGTCTCAGTGCACTCGGGCTCTTGCTCCTCACACCCCCTCCCAGTTTCCAAAAGCTCTTCTCCCGCTCCTCAGCTTATCTTCCAAACTAGGAATCTACCAGAACGACATTTTGTTATTTTGCCTCTAGATTTTCCCCTAATGTTTCCAATAAAATTTTGCTTGGGTGGCCCCTTAAGGTGTCACCAAGATGCTAACCTAGGGCCCTCCAAAATAAGCACACCCTCCCCATCCCTTCCCTCTCAGCTCTCTCCACGGGCGCGCCTTAGGCCTTGCTTTTCTACACTTGGACTTGATGGTGCTCAAGGGAAGAGGTTTTCCATTAATCAGCCAAGAGTCCTGGAAGATGTTCAAATGCCAACAGCATTTCATTCCACCCACTACCCATGGCTAGCCCCTTCCACTTTCAGAACTCCCTGGCTGTGCTAGTGGCCCTCACAGACCAGACTTGGCTTATAGGTCTACACGACTCCTCTGTATCAGCGTCGTGTCTGCTCATTCTGTCATCCCTGAAAGATGTGACTGGTGCCAGCTTACGGCAGAAGTGTTTCCCCTGCACAGGCTGGATGAGTTTGTCTGCATAGTGACAGCCACTCAGCCAGGCAGGTGAGAAGATCCACAGGAGGCCTGACCAGGAGAAGTCAGAAGAGCCTCTGACATGCTCTTGAACCCAGTGCTAAGGATCAGAGCTTGGCTCCTGAACAAGGGACACTCGGGCTGGTACCAGCTTGATTCTCTCCAGAGTGCATGTGTCTGTGCTGTTCTCATCCTACTCTCCTGAGACCTCGAGCAGATTCCAGCTTATCCTAGGATGGGGGACTATGTGAAAGCAATTGTAGGTAAAGGTACCAGAAGCCCAGTACATGGGAGAGGATTCCTAGAGGATGCACCATCCAACACCCCCACCTGTCCACTCAACATCCCTTGAGCCCTAGGAAGCTCAGCCCTCCTTCTGGCTGGTCCCTTCAAGCAAAGCCATGATTTTCCTGAAGAGGGGAGCATTGTGCCACGCCCTTTCCCTCTGCAGGGTTGGTGGTTCAGACCCCAGCATTGGCTTGACAGTTTTCTTCCTGGCATGTGTCCTCCGCTCCAATCTTGGTCACCACTTCAGCGCTAGCATTTTGTATTTCCTCTCTCCACCCTTCACCCACGCTTAATGCACCGAATGGAACTGTTTGCCAGCTGAGTTGTGTGGATTAACTTGAGTCAACTGTAAATACACCTGGAGGTTCCTGAGGGCGGAGCCAGACTGACTTTCCAAACTGAATGTATTTTTATGCAATTTTGAGTGGCCTTTTTAACCCTGAGATGAATGGATTTGTTTTACTGGGTGTTGTTATATAGTATTAAGTATTCTGTGTTTGAAAGTTTGAGAATAATATTCACATCTATATGATGCCTGTAAACACAACAGTATTTATAAATGAGTAAATAAAACTGTGTTTTAACTTGGTGCCATGAGATTGATAGACTCTCCCATTCACCAGACAGCCCCCAGCAGTCGCCTCTGAGAAGTCTCTGCCATAGGCACCCACAAGTCTGTAGTCACCACTTCCCCTTCCCAGGGAAGGGCTCTTGGAGCACCAACATATTTATTTCCTGGGTCAATTGGCAGTAAAGAGTGAAGGCTTGGAACAACCCTAAGAAGAATACAGGTTCCCGGTGCCTAAGAAGGTGGCTGCTTCTTTAAAGGTAAAAAGCGGGGATGTATGGTCCACTTGGATACACACTACCAGCCATGCTACACAGGAAGCTAGGGTAAGCTGGGTGGTGCTGGGCTCTTGCAGGCTTCCAACTACCTCAGTCCTCCACTATGTAAGGGTTCCTTAGGTCACTGGTTCACAAGTTCCAAAAACCACTTCCAAACTATGCAAATGAAACTAATGCTGGGGTCATTAGAGGTTGGATCTAAATCCTGACAGAAGGGTGCCTAGCTCGGGAGTCTGCACAGGCTGCTGGCAGGGCTTGGGGGGTGGGGGGAGTGGGCAGCCAGGCTTTGGGTCTGCTTTTTGCCAAGTGGAAATCCTTGGTCACTGGCTTGGGAGGGAGGGAGGGAAGATTCTTTTCCCCTGCTGTCACCCAGCTGTTTGTAGCTCAAGCAGCAAGAAGAAACAGGGATGATGTCATGGTTGAAGAGTTCAGCTCTGGCCTTGGGGCTTGAAGCAGAGACAAGCCTGACAGACACAGGGGCCTCCTAGACCACAAGCATCGTTTCTCTGGGACCCCGATGGCTGGGTAAGGTTGGTAGAACCTGCTTCTACTGCTCATAGGTACCAGCCTCCCTCCTGGTTACTTCCTGCCGCAGAGCAAGGTGCCCATATTGTCAGTCCTGTCCAGCCAGGCCACCCAGCCCACCCAGCCCATGGCCTCCAGCCAGACTGAAACAGCCCGGTAGCCAGATCTGGGCCCCTGCCGGCTCACACAGGCTCTCTGCCCACCTGCCTTTACTGCTCCTTGGCCATCTGGATTTGACGCAAAACACAAGAAGGTCTAGTACATTATGGTCCTAGACAAGTGTTACACAATATGAAGTGACAGTCTTTGGGACTGGAAACTAAAACAGTTTAATCCTTTCCTGGTCTTGGCCATACTGCCCCAGACTCTGTCCCTAAGCATTCCGAAGCCTTGCTGGCCCTTGTTATCTCTGCCTCATCAAAGACAGATAACAGTCTTTATAGTGTAAGATTGGTGACCTTGTACTTTCCACTTTTAAACATCTACACCCTGGGACCAGCAGCCTCCCTGTTGTCAGGGTCAGACTGCTGCTGTCTCCTAAGCCCAGGTCTTCTAGAGGGAACTTAAGGATGTAGGACAGTCCTTATCATCCCAGGTGGGTGGACCCTGTGTGACTCCAATCTGTCCTTCCAAACCCAGAAGAGAATAGACGGCAACTCCCTCATTTCGAGCTGGAGGCCAGAGCTCCAAAACCAGCTCACCTCCCTCCCCAACCTTGCTGACCCTTGGGGGCAGCTCCCTGGCCCCCTGCCCTAGTCCACTAAAAAAAAAAAATGCTCCCCGCCCCCAGGTTGCTTTCAGCTCTTTTCTTTAATAAGGAGACGCAGCTCATTACAAAATAACAATTTGACAAGAGATCAGACAACAACAGAGTCCACATAAGGGAATGGAGAGAGCATTGCCAAGCAGAGTGGGGAGGGGAGGGCTACACGCATCCTCCTCAGGAAAACAGGGAGGGCTCCTGGTGGGGCCAGTGTACTCCAGGGGAAACACAGCTCGCTCAGCTTCTGCCCCAGTTTGGAAAGTTTCTGGGACCAAGGTTTTCAGAAAGCAAATCAAATCCTTAGATGAGCAGGAGTTAGGGCAGAACCATCAGGCTTCCAGGCCCTTTCCCTGAACTCCTGGCTGCTGAGGAAAGCTGGGGATGAAACTGAGGCCCACACACGGCTCCCTTGCCAGAGTCCGCTTCCACAGTTCCCAATGTCAGTTTCTGTGGAGACTGGAAATCTCCAGCCGACCCCACCTTGTTGCCCCTGGCCTTGTCCAATACACTTGCCCAATTCTGCCTGAGGTCCCCTGGATTAGTAACATACGACTGGCTTCCAGGGAGTCCTGTGGGGTGCCCAAGCTGCTCCAGCCCTGTCTACCCCTATACTCACTATTTGCCATGCCTGCTCAGGCTGTCCTGGAAGCTGATGTGAGTCAGAGCCTAGTGGTCCTCAGTCCTGAGTGATCCCATATCACCACACCTACCACCTTGCCCTCAGGGCACTCTGCTCTGTGGCACCGCCAGACAAAAGAAAGTGGGTAGAAAGTAACCACTGCGGTTCCAGGTTTTCCCCACTGGGCCACTCCTCCACTGCTTTCTGAGGGCCCTGACAGATCAGAGGAAAGTAGGCAGGGCTGGCCGCGTTCATCCCAGGCTGCCACCACCATCACTGAGAACCTGACTGTAGGCTGGGCTGCTCACTGCTTCTGAAAACCTCGGTTGCCTCCAGGCCTCTAAGAGGATATCCAAGCCACAGAGTCACAACCACTGCCATGCCTATGTTCAGAGTAGAGTCCACCATCAGACTCAGGCCACAAAAGCCAGCCAGGGGCATCTCCTGAGACCCCACCAGAAGCCCTGGAACACAAACTGTCCTTATGACACAGGGCTAGGAGAGCAAGAGAGAGTGACGGACAGGTGAGCCCTTCACAAGTGTTCTATGGGGAGCCAGTTAAGAGGGATGGGAGGCTCCTGGAAGGAGTCGAGGGCACCCTCCAGTAGGAGGCCCCTTTATGGCTTTTCAGTTTATTCAAGACAGTGGGAAGAAAGGGACCACGTCAACACATGGAACACAGAAGCAACGGGACACCAGACACCAGGCTAGACAGTACACTGTGCCCTAAGGGTTAGCCCTGTAGACACACCCAGACCTGCCTTCAGGGCTAGTGTCCTTCAGCATAGTCCCTGGGCAGGGCTGGCACCGGGGCCAGAACATTATCTCCCACTGTGGACATTCACTGTAGGTGAGGGGAGGACAAAGACTTTACACAACATAAAATCAGGGAGCAGCCAGTTCTGTAAAACGGGTCTGGGGTTGGGAGGTCAAGGGCTCTCAGCAGTGCCATGCGGCTATTTACAGAATTGTAGACATGCATCTTGATTAAACAAGATTCTGCTCGTATGTTTATAGATAGCATCTTCTTTTATAATATATAACTAAATGAACATGGGGGAGTTCCAATGAGGCTCAATGGCTTCAGAAGGTTCCTGTTTTGTTGTTACTTCAAAAATAAAGTATATTCATGTATCTTCAAGTCACAGTGTCCCCTTCTCAATATTGCAATTGAAAAAACAGGTTAAATCAAAACTGTGGTAGCCAGCCTCTGGCCCCTGGGACTGAAGAAAAGGGGGATGGATGGAGGAGCCAGAGGGTATGTTTGCCAGACACAATACAGGATTAGCCAATTAAACTTAAATTTCACATTAAACAATGAATCGCTCTTTATAGTACAGTATGTCTTAAATACTGCATAGGACATCCTTATGCTTCAAAATTATTTGCTTATCTGAAATTCAAGTTTAACCAAGTATTCTGTATTTGTATTTGCCAAATCTGGTAGCCATCATGGGGCTGTGAGCCACCTGCTGCTACCCTCTGGCTCTGAGAAAAGACCCCAAGCAGCCTGCAGTGAGAGGGACACAGAGCCTGTGGGCCGGAGAGGATGGGGAAAGTTTGATCCCTTCCTACCTTCAGGAAGACTGCTGCTATGTACGCCCTCAAGGACAGGCAGGGTTGAGAGACCTGGGATTCTCAAGAGCTGACATGACATTAAATGAACAAGGGATTCCTTCCTCTTTGTTAGCGTTGCCCACCCCTACGTCCAGCATGGAGGCATGTTTATAAAAGCTACCTTTACCAAGAGGCCTGTAGTAAAAAGCCTCCCTCATCCCTCATTAAATCGTGGGCCAGCAAGATCACCACGAACCACTTCTACAGAAACAAAACAGTGTGTTGTCTTCCTGGGAAGGAAGACCAAGGTCTCTGGCTGGGCCTCGCCCTGCTCATCCTCAGCGCCTGCTTGGCCGGGAGCTCCCTAGTCCCCAGGCCTCAGCCTCTGTTCCAAAACTGCCCAGCACTGCAGAGGTTGCTTTTCTTCATTCAGGGAGAGCGTGTGCCCCAAGATCCTCAGTGGAGTTTGGGTATTCATTGTCTTAAGCTCTCTTTAAAAACAAAATAAACATACCCCTCTCATAATCACTTTCCTCTCTTTGGGATAAAAACTTCTATCCTCAGAAGTATCCAGAATCCCTCACCAGCCAGAAACATTGACTGTCTCTGCTTAGTCCTGATACCCTAGGACCCTGACATCCCCAGAAATTAACCCCCGTGGCAGTGAAGGTTTGGAATGCCATGCTGGGGTTTGGGTCATATCAGCCCTCCCCAACCCCAGTGCAGAGAAACTGAAGCTTCAACATGTTCCTGCCTGGCCCCTGGACCTGGACAGGTGCCATCTGCTTGGGTGGTTAGTCTGGGACCAGCCCTAAGCCTGAGGAGAACCACTCCCAGCATCCATGCTGCCTCCAAACTAGTGATCAGAGTCAAAAAGCCCTGGCAGGCTGCCCACGGTAATGAGCTCTAGCCTGTCTCTAACCCCAGGGACATTCAAACCACAGAGGCACCCACCATTCCTTCCTTCCCTCTGTCAGCAGCGCAGTAGGACTATGGACTGTGGAAGGACTGAATGTGGTTTACAGGAGAGAACCCGAGGAGTTTACAGGTGATTGGGAAAGGCTGGGAGAACACAGGAAGAAGGCTAAGGTTGACTGGGGAGTTTCTGTGAATGGGATTCATGGAATGTGGGTGAGAAGAGCCAGTGTGGGGAGGGACCAGGAAAGCACCGAAATTCCACAAAAAAGAATCCAGTGACATCACATGTCCATACCAGGACCCTAGTACTCTCCAACTACCTGAACTCTGAGTGTACTCAGTGGCCCAACAATATTCCACCATGACCAGAACTCTGGTCCCAAGGACTACAGCCCATAATCCTATCAGAGTCCTCCTTTCTCAATGTTTAGCATAAACACACATACAAAGAATGTATAAAATACACAACTTCCCATGTACCACGGGCCAATAGCAGAAGGATCTCTAAAAGAGAGGCAGGTCAAACCTACTTCACAGTCTGTTTCTGGTAGAAGTGTTACCTCACTTCCTACTTAAACAAAAACAAAACAAAACCAACAACAAAAAAGCAAAGCAAACCCACATAATCCCCCATTTTCACTAAAACACTGCAGTTTCTCCATCCTGGGTTCTCAAAGCCAAACCCTACAACATCATCCATCTCTGAGACCTACAAGCAGCAGAAGGGCCCAGGTGGGGCGGTCCTACCACATTGGCTGTTGAAAAGCATGTCCCCCGCCCCTGCCGGCTTCAGGAAAGCTGTGCATTTTCTGTGGTAAGAGAACAAGGGCCTGAGAGATTCAAGAACAAATGCAAGACCAAGGGAAAGGAGCAGCCTCTGGCCACATGGAGCTAAGCCCCCTGCCCAGGCTAAAGGTTGGGAAGGGTACGTAGTGCAAGCCTGACTAACATTTATATGGCTTTTTTTCAATGCTGGGGACAAGCAGGGAATGGGGAAGGAGACACAAAATAAACACAGGGTACAAACTTTAGCACATTTTCTCTACCACCCATCTGAAATGAATGCCCTGTGTTTCCTGGCATTCATAGAAAACTGTTTCTAAGGAATGGAAGGACGGGGCCTCTCTGGCTACCATCACTGAGGGTCAAAGTGTCCAGAGGGTCAGGAATGGCAGCTATGAGGAGCTCCACACTGTCGAACTCCTCACTGTCCACCCATGCTCCCTTTGACACCTCCTCCTCACCTGGACCTCAGGGGAACTAAACACTCAAGCATTCCTGTAACAGGCCTCTGGCTCTGTGCAAAGCACTTGTCTTCAGACAGTACAAAAAGGGAAACAGAGGCAAAAGCAAGATGGTGCATGAGTGCAAATGAGTGCGCTGCTTGTACCCTGCAGAGGGAGGAAGCACTGGCTTCCCACTGGACGAGGCAGAGATCCAGGAGCTTAGTTTTAGGCTTTCTGAGTAATGGGACTTCTGTTTCTTCCACGTTTGATGTTATCAACACGAGCGACATCCTGGGCTGGCAGTCCCTAGTAGTCTGATGAATCTAGTAAATAGTTTATTTCCATGAATGTCCCCAAAACCTCACTCCTGGGGGGAAGCTGTGACAAGAGGGAGTCCATGATGACATCAAGGGTTTTGGTCCTAGTTCTGAACACATCCAGTGTCACATCTTGCTGCCTTCTAAATGGCCTTTCGCAAGGACTGTGAGAGCTTCTGGCCTCTGACCACTTAGGCAGTGGGCTTTCTTCACCTTTGGAGTCCCTGAAGACTTTGTCCTCACACACAGCTTCATTGTCCGTGGCTCATTCCAGAAATGAAGAGATGTTTAAAACAGAGGCAGGTGGGGATGGATGGGCACACACACACACACACACACACACACACACACACACACACAAAATGCTGGCCACTATGTTGCCTTTACAGTCAAGAAACAGAATGTTCTTGCCATTTTGTTGGTCCAAAACTCAGGAAAAGCAGGAAGTACTTCAACTCTCTGACAGTAGGGGGCCCCAGTTGGGGTGAGGGGAAACTGTGATAGGGCATGCGACAAGGGCAGCTCCTGGGACAGTAACAGAGCCAGGCTTCTCTTTCACATCTTAGGGGACTCCCTTCACACAGCCACCAAAAGGAAGTTGGTCTTTAAAAAGAGAGAAAAGGAAGGAAAAACAGAACACACCGCAAACAAATGAAGAAACCTCTAAGGTCGCGTAACTGAGGTATTGATAGCTCTGGATCTTGTCAGTGTCCTCGGGGGCGTGGCCCCAGCCGCTGTTGCCTACTTGTTTTTGCCCAGAAGAGCATCCACTTCTTCCTCAGGCTTAAGAGAGTGCCACTGGGCGATGGGCCTCCGAGGGTTGGCCAGCATGTCAGACCAGTGCCGCAGCTCCGTGCCTGTGGCGTTGCTGCCCACGAAGATCTTCCCGATGGCTTCATTCTTACCCAGCTTGTCGTAGTCTAGCACGGTGACGACCACCTGGACTTTCTGCAAGGCAAGCAAAGGAAGGAAGGAATGACTTCAAAGGAGAAGTAGGAGCCAGTGACATACCCTCTCTATTACTCTGCACTGCAAATGATAAGGCAGGAAATGCCTCCAGGTTTCTGACTTCCAGTCCAACTCCAATTAAATTCCAGTGTAGAGGACACAGCTATTTTTTTTTTAAATCAACCTATATTTCTGCCAGCAGGTGTACTTGAACATACACAACGCTCTAGGCATTGTGAGACCTTATGGGAGGGGAGTGGCCTCTAATGAGGTCGGTCAGTGGACAAAAAAATAAAAAAAACACTCAAGTTTTGGACATAATAAACACACAAGTGTTCCCCAAATACAAATGACTTTTTAAATACATATTCTCACCTCTGTCAGTCTATACTGTAAATGGTATAGAGGATATACAAAAATATCTAACTTTTTAAAAATTTGTTCACATTCAGATAATCGAGGCCCTTCAAAAGGGTCTTCTACAGGGTCCCACCCCAGCGCTGTCAGATCCAGATCCTATCCCAGTGGAATGCACCTGGCCCATGGCTGACCTCTAACTAACTCCCCATATTTGTCTGGTTAGCTCAGAGCCTAAGAACTCAAGGCCCTTGAGGCATAAGCACCTGGATCTGCTCAAATGGGATCTCGAAACTGAAGGACTCGTTGAAGTAGGGGTTCAGGGTCTTCTTCTTCACCGTCGTCTTCTTCTTCTTGAGTCTCTTGCCGTTCTGCATTAGGTGAATCTTCACGTAGGGGTCTGCAGACAGAGTCCCAACCCAAGAGATGCCTCAGCCCCGACAAACCTCCTAGTATTCCCAGGTCTCCACCCTGCTGGAACCAGGCTCCTGGGAAGCCCAGAGGAGGGACAGGAAGTCCCAGAAGCAGAGGGATCATCTGGGTCACAGGTAGGAAAGGTGTTAGACTACCTCTAACTGCTTACTTATAGGCTCCTAGTGCACCAAGGCGGGGAGTGGGGGGTTCTGAGTTAAGAACGGCCTTGTAAGGAAGAGTGAGGACTAACTGGTCAGGTGCCTGGGCTAGGAGGTGACCAAGAGATGAGAAAGCCAAAGCACACTTCAGCCAAGTCCTGATCCTGCATATCCAGTCTTCCCACCCTGGCAGATGAGAATCTTAGGACACTCGAGGGGAATGGTCAGCCCAAGGTCACAAGTTTGGTCGGTGACAGAGCCAAAGCCAGCTATAAGACAATTCTGAGGAGGCTCAGCAGAGGTAATAAGCTTTACCATTAGCATTCTGTGGCACAGGCTTAGCCCTATGCCAAATTTACTGTCAGGTAAATCTGAAACCTACGGCATAGCTTCCAAAACAGGATTGGCAGAGCCTGCAGCCTCTTCTGGAAAAATATCCCCTACTCTGGTGGCACGGCAGAAAGACTGACTTGGGGTTAAGCCCTTCCCTGCCACTTCTGACACTTCCTGAGAAAAGTTCTGTGTCATTAGCTCATTGGGAGAATGAAGTTCTTTTGTCTTCTTCTCTGTGGCCCCCAGAGCATGCCAGAGGGTTATTTATGGAAAGACTCAGATATGGACAGGCAGCGAGTGGGGAGGGCTGGAAAACCTGTGTTCAGAATCAAGTAAGACTTTCTAGCCTCTCTAGGGATTCAGAGCGGTGAATGGCTCGCTGCTGCCACACACTGGCTCCCAGTGGTTCTGCATCACCTGAAAGGCCCCCTACATCCATCTTCTTCAGGTTCTTGGCCTCCAGGATACAGACTGTGAGCTTCCCAGCAGTGGGCACATAGCGCAAGGAGGTACAGATGTCACCCAGCTTCTCTGGCTGTCCAGGGAGAGAAGCAGGATTTAGGTCACTTCAGCTATCCCAGTGGCCTCTAGTGTGGCTGACCCCATCTCGCCAAGATTGGCAAAGCAGTGATTTCTGCCTAGTCATCAGCCTCCACATCTGTAGCCAAGGTGGTCTTCAGCTTCCAATATCAGTACCTCACACTGCAGTTTGCAGTCATGGCCTGGGGAAGCTGACATCCAAGAAGGCAGAGGATAGGCTATCACGGAGGGACCTGGCAAACCTGGAGGATATGGGTATGCTTGGATCCCCACCAAGCTGAGTGAAAGGGGCACAAGAAGCAGGTGCTGTGTGGCCAAGTGGTTAGGGAGCTTCTTCCCTGATCACCCCTGCCCCCCGCCATCATTTGCTATCAGCTATGGGGCTTGCAGGGTAATGTGGTTCTCAGAGCACTTCCTTTTCCATATATTATGTCACTTAAACCTTTTGTGTGACAAGGCAAGGACACTGTAACCAACAAGAAATCCAGGTTACCAGGGAGACCTGTTCCTCAGAGTCAGACAGCAACAGAGCACTGGGCAGGAGGGGGGTCTCAGGACCCCTGACCTAAGGCTCTGCTGGCCCCCAGTTTCTCGGGGATGGTGCCGCCTCCTTCAGGTATCCAGACCTTCATCTCTGACAACAGGCAAAGCCCCAGCTACAGAAGGAGGCCAAGGGCTTTTATCCCACACCTCCACTGAGCACCTACAGGCTGAAACAGGTCACTGGTGCTAGCAACGTAGCTGGCAGGGGAGTTCTGGCACACAGCAAATTCGGGACTGATTGCTGTGGCTAGAAGACATGCCAAATACTGAGAATCCTATGGAATCAAGGCTGGCTTTTCTGGTGGGTAAACTGAGGGACCAAGTCTGAAGGGCAGTAGACCCTAAAAGGAAAAATAATAACGGCGTCCTTATTTCATGGCTTGCTTGGCAGACACCAGGCACGGGGTAAGGTGCTTCATATGGGCAGTTAATTCCCAGCTAGAGCCATCTGAAGGAAAGCACCAAAGCCTCAGGTTAATTAGCTTCCCCTGGATCATCAGCCAGGCAGTGGGGAGCTGGATTCCACCAGCAGACCTGACTGTAACTGCCGCTCTCCCTATTATACATGTGTTGGAGCAAGCCTCAGCAAACCTGGTCTCTCCATCCTTACCTCTTCCTTCTCTCCGCCTTGTAGGTCTCTCCATTCCTCAATGGGTTGGCCAAGGTCTACCGTGTTCATGGGCACCTTCACCTCCCCGATAATGTCATGCTTGGAGAAGCGGTCAAAGTCATAGATGGCCATCACCAGGGTTTTGCCTCCCAACTCCTGGTATGGAACCTGTAGGACACAGATGGGGTCAAAGTGGCTTCATCACTTCCAGAGGATGCTACAGGAAGATCCCAAGGCGTGGACCTGTGTTGCTCACAGGGTACCAGACAGACTGAAAACACCAGTGTGTGAGATGGAAGGGAGGCTGCTACAGCCTGCAACTGTGCCATGCTGAGCATATACCAGGGCTCTAGCCATGGGTGAGGACCAGGGCAAGTTATGCAGAACCCAGGGGCAGAGGGAGCCAGAGTCGTCGTTTTCTGTCACCTTGAAAGTGAAAGTCTCGTTGAAGGCTGGGTTCAGTGTCTTCCGGTGCACCTTGGTCTCATATTTCTTCTTCTTGTCTGGGAGGAGGAAGACTTTGACATAAGGGTCTGACGTGCCACCCATGTCCAGGGCAGGGAGTTCGGCAGCCTGCAGGACACCCACGGTGAGCTGTGGAGAAAGAGGATGTGTGTGAACCTCTGAATTGCTCCAGCACCGGATATAGTCCCAGACTGGGCTCCTGCCAACACCTCACCCTCACCCCAAGTGGGAATCTTGGGAGTGGGGCCAGGCCAAGCTCAGGCTTACAGTAAGTTATTACAAGAGTTCATCCAAGATCTTCCCCAGTAGAGGCTTACAGTGGAAGCCAGGGTCAAGGTTAAAGATGTATATGCCCCGTGGCTTCCAACTGTCGTGCTCCACAGGAAGACACACAAGGCCTACCTGTCTCCAGGATAACCGCTTCCATCCACACCCTATCCCAATGCCCAGCCCACATACCTGGTTGGCCTGGAAATCATAGTCCAGAGAAAACTGCAGTTTGCCCAGGTTCTCTGGCTCCTTCTCCTCCTCGCCTTCTCCTTCTCCTTCAGTCAGGCCTGTCTCTGCATCGTCATCGTCCTAGGAGAGCTACAGGTAGGGAGAAAGTTTAAAGAAGACTGCAGAACAGTCCTTCACAAAGACAGCAGAAGCCGCCCCGAGCCCCCAAAGTGTGACTCGGAGCACTTCCAGGGGATGGCGTCGGAAGATCCGTGGGCTTGGGGCTGTGTTGCCGCAGGGTACAAGGCAGGCCATAGAAACCAACATGTGAGGTGGGAGAGTGGCCTGTGCAGGGCTCAGCTCCCCACGGGACCCCCCCCCCAGGCAGACCACAGCCCCACATGTGGAAGACATGACTCGTGGCTTGAGCAAGAATCTCTCCTCCCGTGGGGTCAGGAACCACAGGCATACAGTGTCTAGAGACAAGGGGCTCACTTCCCTTGTAAAACCCTCTAGGTCCTTTGCCCTGCTCAGATTTACTCTGCATGAGACATACCAGGCATTCCAGTCAGGAACAGGGCGAGTCCAGAGAGGCAGAAAGAGAAGGAAGTGGTATAAGAGGAAATCCTTCCACTCACACCAGCCCTGAAGTCATGGCTGCTTGGTGAGATCAGGCTGGGTTGCATGCACACATGCTTGTACACACACACATGTATATATACATGAATACACATGCATGCACATACATATACATACATGCATATACATACTAACACACACGTGCAAGCATACACACCATCCATGTACACATGCTTGCACACACACATATATACACAGGAACACAAATGCATGCAATACACATGCATACATGCACATACACACTAACACACATATAAGCATGCATATCATCCATGTGCACACACATGTGTATATACAGGAACACACACATGCACATATACATGCATATACATACTAATACACATACAAACATACACACTATCTATGTGCACATGCATGTACACACATGTATATACACAGGAACACACATGGATGCACATACACATGCATACATGTATATACATACTAACACATGGGCAAGCATACACATCATCCATGTGCATGTGCACACACACACACACACACACACACACACTGTGGGCTTTGAGGCCCAATAGGCACACAGACACAAGACCATGTAAAGGCCATCATGACCCTTGGCTGCTTTTTGAGCTCAGTCCCTCCTCCCAGCCTTCAGTATTACACCCTAAGAAAGACTTCTCCCAGTCATTCCCCAGACAGACACCAGAGGACAGTGAAGCCCCAGACAGAACTTAAGGGGAGCCACCAATTTGTCAAGGGACCTGCTGAAACCAACACCAACAGGCTGGGGTTGATGCATCATTGTCTGATAGTGATGGATGCCATCTGGTCCTGTCCTGGTGCCTTCCAACCTGCCCCCAACCCATCTGAGCCCCGACCACACCCAGCCGGATGTATCTGTCCCTCCGCCTCTCCTGGCAGGAAGATTCAATGTTCCCCAACAGTGTCTTCTGGATGGCCATCATGGGTGTCTAGCACTCTGTCCCAGTGGCCTCCTCGGGAGTCATCCATTGTTCTCTTGTTTTGCCTTTTCAAGGAGGAGCACATGCTGACATGTGGGTAAGTCCCTTCCCCTCCAGTTTAGGGTGGATGACTGGATAATGTAGGTGCAGCCATTGGGGCCCCGCGTGGAGCGTGTGACCCCCACATAGAGAGTGCAGGGTGGGGGGACAGCTCATACCAAGGAGGCAGCAGTTTAACTGTGGAAGCCCAGAAGCCTTTACCTCGCCTTTCAGCACCAGGAAAGCAGGGCAGGGTCCCTCTCAGCCCAGCCCCTCCCCAGCGTCCTACCTGGCCCCCTTTCATGTCCTTCATGTTCATGGCGTTCTTCATGCCTTTGCCCTTCTCCTTCTTGTTCTTCTTCTTCTTGCAGCAGCACTTCTTACAGATGCAGAAGCAGCAGGTGAGTAGCAGGAGGCCAGCAACCACAGCCATGGCGATCAGGGCCCAGGGGGGCACTGCGGACAGAGAGCGCAGAAACACTGTGAGCCTCACCAGCCCTCATCCCAAGCCTGGGCATGTGTGGGCTGGGACTGTGATGTGACTCCCTCATTCTCCTGCTCTGTGTGTGTGTGTGTGTGTGTGTGCGCGCGCGCACACGCGGCACGCGTGCATGCGCCCCATATGTTTGTGTGTGCATATATACACACATATATACATATATACACATATGTACATATATACTATACATAACATATATACATATACATATACATATACATATACATATACATATACATATACATATACATAT